GAGTGTTGCATGTTTCAGACGGTATCTGAGTTTTAATTTGACAAACATCCTGAACCTAAAGCTTTAACAGAAACGTTCATCTTTACAGGAGGTGAAACACATAGGCTCCACCCACAACAGGAGCGCCCTGCCTTTTACTGGTTTTGGCTCCAAAGTTGTGACCAACCAGTACAACAGCCCCTCTGGCCTGTACTCCTCAGAGAACATCCAGAACTTCAACTCATCTGTGGACGAAGTGAAGACCATGGCTACAGCCAATGACCCCAACAACAAGTAAGATCAGCTCAAATGATGCTGTTAAAGTTCAGTCGTGATGGACTCAAAGCCAGTGCATATCATTTCTTTACCCAAAGCTGTGATGCAAAGTGTTGAAATCTAGATTGGCTTTGCAACTGATACAGTAAAAGTGGAACTGGGCAGTCAAAAAGTGTTTCAATTGCTGCATCCATCATAAAAATGTGATGATGATGATGATGATGCATTTTTGAAGCAATATGCAAACTTCCAATGAGTAATATGTTGTATAAAAATGTATTTTCAAGTCACTGCAGTGTGTTTGGACTCAGCAGGTATTTGCTCAGGTCTTCACTTCGTAATATACCCAAACATCTCTGCAGGCAACTGAGTTGGGGAATGCCCAAATTAATAATAAATTCAGGATGCTACCATTTAATGGCATTTCGATGCACCTCCAGTTTTGATTTATGTGCTTTTCATGCTGTATGAGCACACTGACAGCATCAGGGCATGTCTGCATGTCGCGTTCTCCTCTGGCGGGGCATCGGGGAGCGCTTCATCCCAGCACTTCCATCAAAAGAGCGCTGAGGTGAAGTGCGTGGGTTTAGTTTCTATGACCACAATCAACGCTATCTTGGCAACATATCACTGGCTAACACGTGTTTTATGATCGGCTGGCATCAGCCCTGGTTTCACAACCCCTGTCAGGTTTATCATACAGCTCGGGATAGAGAGACCCAACCCAGAACCAGATTCTCCATTGTCTCGGTTGCCAGGGTGACAAAAACTGCCCAAATGATTGGTTGCCAGAAAATGAATGACAGTGACGATGCCAGCGGTTTTCTGAAGAGTTCCGAGATTTTCAACTGTAACACAAAAAAGGTGGAGCGCTCTGACAAAAGACACTGGGTGCAGCACTGTTTCTGAACACGTTTGGCATCGTGCACTCTGTCGTCATTGGGAACAACCGGAAAAGAAACACTGGTATTTAGAAAAACTTCTATGTGGACACTATTAACGTCCAGTATTAGAAAATGTCGTATGACTACGCGTTGTTTAGCATTTCTGGATCTTTCAGGAGTTCATTGCTCCAATTTGCAGAGAAATGTACATATGACCTGGCTGTGCAGCAGAAGTTTGTGTCCGTATGAGAACACTGACACAGATTTTGCATGACACATGAAGTATTTTCCTCTTTTATAAAATGTGTCTTTAGAAATACTCTGTTTGGCTTTAAGTACAACATTTAGATTTTCCTCCAGCTCTGAACTGCAGCATGTAATGTTTTCTTTTCTCTCTGCTTTGTAAAATACAAAGTAAGCCTATAAGCAGTCACCTTTGAATCTGACAGAACAGGTCAGAGTTTAATTATGCCCTCAAGGCTGCTTCTATGCTCTAACTTAATGGATCCCATCCCCGCAACAGATCTATTGACTCTAAGCAATACTCTTATTAATCACTTTGTTTCAGACTTGGTGAAGAATTTCCAGTATTTAGCCTAAAAAGAAAGAGTCATCGTTAACAGTTAAAGTGTAGAATAAGATTCTCAGTAGATGTTTTTTGTTTTTTTTTTGTTTTTTTTTTTGAAGTTATTTTTTTGGCCTTTTTGCCTTTATTATGTAGGACAATGAAGAGAGAGACTCAGGACAGTGGGGGAGAAGAATGGGGGACGGACCTGCAGCAAAGGGCCATGAGCGGAATTCAAACCCATGGCCGCTGCATCGGGGGCTATAGACCCTGTACATGGGTCGCCAGCTCAACCAGCTGAGTTACAGCGGCAGCCCAGGCCTCTGTAGACGTTTTTAAGTTTACTCAGCAGCTCCCAAAAGGCTGGATGATGTGTCCTTACAAGTCATTAGTAATGTGGATAGTATTGCCAGGCATGTAGAAGCAGAGTTCACTCAGCCATGGTCAAATAAATTAAGACAGTTGTATGACTGTAATGCAGCTTTTTAGACAAGAAAAAGGTGACAGTGTAATACAGTATTAAACCGTACCACAATATTGTTTAATAATGTTATTTACTCTTACATCTCAGCTCTGTTCAGTCATAAACAGAAGTGTAATCCTTCTGGAATCCTATAAAAAGTGTCTGAGAGAAACACAAAAAAGCAAACTCTCTGTTCTCTCATGTCGTCCCTCTGTATGTGTCCACATCAGAGACGATGGAAAGATGTTTGCGTCTCAACAATGTTTTGCCGTTTTGCATCCTATGACTCCTGCTGATATTTTCTTTGTAGAACCCCATCAGATCCGTCAAAGGCAGGCAAGCGGCCGCCTGTAGCAGCAGACTCAGAGGTCTACAAGATGCTGCAGGAGAACCAAGAGTCTGACGAGCCTCCACGACAGTCGGCTTCATTCAAGGTGCTTCAGGAGATTCTTGAAACAGGTACAGATACCAGTTTTTATTTAATCTTCATCACTGAGCATGTTGAGCTTTCTTTTGACTTTGGGACGCAGTGTGAACCAGCAAGACCTCAAAAAGTATGGTAACATTTTCAGTCTGTGTGTCTGATGTTTGTAGGTGACTCAGAGAAACCATCAGGCTTCAGGAGTGTGAAAGCGCCCACAACAAAGATCGGATCATCAGTGGGCAACGCAGAGAAATTACCCATCTGTGACAAATGTGGATCTGGGATTGTGTAAGTACTTCATAATTCTTCAGCACAGCAGGTTTACAGATGACTTCTTCTTTTCTTCTTTTTTTTGCACTGCACAGAAATAAAAGGTTGTTTATATCATGTAGTCATTTATGTCCTCATCTGAATTTGCACCTCAGTCATCGACCCTGATCTGTTTTCAGCTGCACTTTCATGATACCTGATGTACATCTTGCTTTGCATTTTTACATTTTTAAGACGTCCACAATGTGACCAAATATTGTGATTCAACAGAGAGGTTCCCTAAGTGTTGTCTCTTGTTGGTGTTTGTCTCCTCCTTGTGGCCGAACTTAGTAAAAACCACAAGGAAAAACGTCCTTAAGCCCTGCTGCGCTGTCTGTTTAGTTGTGACTTTGTTTACTTTAATAAGTTATTTTCCCCTTGAACTTTTATAAAAAAAATGTATTTTCTGTTTGTTCTTAATTTATAAAAAACAACAGTCATCCTGAAAATCTGCACTGTTATTTAAAATGGGTATTTTTGAAGTCGTTCTGTAATTATGGCTCACTCCACGTGCACACAGGTATTTTTAAAACAGGGTTTTTTTCTTTTTTCACTCCTTTGTTGTCTAAAAACAAATCTCAGTCCATGTAAAAACACACAACTGAGCATGACACACTGTGCCAGTATGTTGGCCATTCAGAAAAAAAAAGCAGCTACCAGTTCCAGTAGGCTACCAACAACAGCACATGGAGGACAGGAGGAGTCATACCCATGGACTGGTTCTGATGCTCTGCTCCTCAGTATAGTGGACGAATAACTGCATTTATGTGTTACCATGTAAACAGTCCTGTTAGTAAGATTCGCATCAGCATTAGCTGTCACTGCAATAAATCACCTCGTGTAAACAAAGGAGATGATGCACACCGTCACTCTCAAAAGCCAGAACAAAGTTTTCCCTCTCTGCACATCAACACTGTAAGTAGAGTTTCTAAGTATCAGTTTTCCAAATGTCGGTTTTTAGTGACCTAAAGGTCAGGCTAACCTTTTATGTTGTGCCATATTATCAACAGTGTACCATTTTGAAAAGTGTGAATGTGGAGTTTTTATTTTTTAATCTTGAACTACATGCATTGTAGCAGCAGCAAGAAAACCTGATGTATCAGTTTAGGTTCTGACTTGTTCTTTCGAAGGACACACACTGCATCCTCATTGCACATCCAACTGGAACGTGTTGAATCTTTACCTTGTTCCCTGACATTTCCATCTGTCCCGTAAACACCCTTTAGATATAAAAGTAAATGTGTTCTTCCAACTTCATAGCTACAGTTTGGAGAAGGCCATTTCCAGTTTCAACACAACAGCACCCTCCGTGCACAAAGCTGGTCTGTTATAAATAATCAGTGTTTCATGTGGAAGACTTGCATCCAGCGGTGACCTCAGGTCTAATCCAAATACCTGTAGGATGAACTGAAACATGGACTTGTAGCCTGAAGGACTTTTTACTCATATTTAACAGATGTTGATAACTTTCATGACTGAATTTGAGCAAAACCCCACAGCCAGGTTTTCCAATCTGGTGGAGAACCTGTTGCAGCAGGACATTGTTGATGGTTTTATTTGACAGGTTTAAAGGTCGGTGTTATGCAGTTAATAATGATTTAAACAAGTGAGCATTTTGTTTACCTAATTTAATGTGATCTTTGTGTTTCCACTTCAGAGGGATGGTGGTGAAGCTGAGGGACAAGTTCCGCCACCCTGACTGCTACACCTGCACAGACTGCGACGTCAACCTAAAACAGAAGGGACATTTCTTTGTGGAGGACCAGATTTACTGTGAGAAACACGCACGCGAGCGAGTCACCCCACCCGAGGGCTACGACGTGGTCACCGTCTTCCCCAAGTAGAGCGCTCCCGGAGCTCGGCCTTGGACTGCACGCCACTGTGGGACACCATGACGCAATCCAAGACACGGCAACACTTAGCTCATGCTACTCCTAAGACTATGAAATGGTCTCTTCTCCCACATTATGCTTCAGTGCTGTCACTGGTAGACAGGACAGTAAGGAACCAAATGTTAAAATGTTCATTTGCACATTAAGTTTGGCCTCTGAGAAAGGAAAGTTAATGAATACTATGAGATGACATTCATTTCTTCTCTCCCTAAAAATAATTTGAACGACGGTAACTGTGTTTTAGTCGTGTTTGTCTTTGTTCATGATGTTCTTTTGAATCATGGAAATGATGAAAAGCCAGAGTACTTATCACCCCAAAACACTTCATGTTTTCTACAGTTTTTATTAAATAAATAAATGTAGTTTTATACAGAAAAATAACACAAAAACACATCTGAATATCATTGCCAAATAAATACTTTTAGCTTAAACCCTTTTGTGTTCCTAGATTGTTGATTGTGCTTCATCTTTTAGTGACATTGTCTGTGATTTGATTGTAAGACAGCAAATACTTAGAGTTCACACATGATCATTTAAGTACTTTTCACCACAAACAAATTGCCAGGGATCGTAGCTTTAGCTTTGGAAATGTCATTTTAACAGAATCTGTTCTGATCCCAGTTTAAGTGCTTTTAAAAACAAACACTGAAGATGGAAGATGCCACCACAGTGTTCTGTATAAGCCAAGTCTCTTACATTTAGGATCTATTTCAACAGCATGCCTAAAACTTCTCCGACCAGGTTTTGTTCTTGACTTCTTACAGACTCATACATCATCGTTTCACCAGTTATACAGCTGAGATCATTAAAAGTCAGTAGTGCCAAGTATCTCTGAGATCACTTTCACCACACTTGAAATAAAAGGTAACAGGGACAGCACTGGATTCATCTCTTGTACAAAGTTTACAGCTCATTTCATTCACAGATGTGTAGGAGTTTCTTTGGTCAGAGGTTCCGTATCCAGCCTCTGCAGGTGATGCCGAGTCCCACTCTGCAGAGAAAACACTTGCCGGGCTGCTCAGATCTGACGCCAGGTAGCCCTGCGTGTGTCCGTGCTGGTCGGCCATGCGCAGAGTCTCGGTCAGAGCCCAGATGTAGTTGCGGGCAAAGCGCAGAGTTTCGATCTTGGTCAGCTTTGCGTCTTCGGGCAGCGCCGGCAGGATGCTTCTGAGCGCGTCCAGAGCGGAGTTGAGGTTGTGCATGCGGAGACGCTCTCTGTCGTTTGCCTTCATCCTGCGCCTGCCCCGCTGTCCGGACTGCTCACATCTGGATTTGGGATGCTTTACTGAGGCCGGCCCTCCTCCTGTAACAGTCAGTGAGCTCCGAGGCAGATTGTCACTGGAGTGTCCTGACGCGTCTCCAGCTTCTTTCACGGTGTTGCGGAGTGTTGGAGGAAAGCTGCTGAGCGTCACCGCATCCCTGGACGAGCGCAGGTCATCAGGGGCGCAAGTTGCTTTTGGAGACATCCTATGCAAAGCAGCACATTTTTATTAATCAGGTTGAATATAATCAATGCAAAGCCAGAGAGAGAACAGTCATTCGCAAGAGTTTGCAATAAACGATTCCAGCTGATGCCTTAAAAATAATCCAATATTATTTTTTTCCTTCTTTTTTTTCTTTCTTTTTTTTTTTTTTTTTGCAATTGATTTAGAAAATTACATCAACCCCAGTTTTCCATTAGACTCAAATTCTTCGTTTTACCTCTTTAAATAATTTAAATCGTTCTGGAAAGTGCGTAACCACCGTCTCCAACATCAACTCGCTGATAAAAACTTCAGATGAATGGATGTGTTTGCACTTACTTTTGAAGTCGTGACAGGTGAAGCTTCAGTAAAGAGACAGGCCGTCGTCCTCTCCTATAGCTGGAGGCAGCAGACAGTGTATATGTGCAGCTGACAGTGAGGGATGGATGCGCATCTCTGTCATTTTATATGGCCTTTATCTTATCTTCTTGCACCGTGGACGCCTGAATCAACAGCCTCTGTCAAGTGGCCAATCAGCTTCCAGGCAGCGTGTCCTTCACCCTCTCCCTCTCTCTCCCTACTTCTTCACAGAGCTCCAATTCTTTGTGTAATCTTTGTAATATTCCGTCAAATGCATGTGTGTGATAAAGTGCCACAGCTCATGTTAACAAAAATCACGTTTTATAACCTGAGTGGGTTCAAACTTCTTTTTTCTTGAATTATGTGAACATCAAGCACCAATCAAGGCAATTTTTTATTTTTATTTTTGACAACAGGGAGAATCAGGACCCTGGTTTTGAGCTGCTACTCTGAAGATCATTTTGTATCTTTTTACTGCTCTTCTTTAATTTATTATTCATCATCTTGCCAGTCGTGCAGTCACTTCTCGATCCTGCTGATCAAACGTTGGAGATCTCTGTGGAAACTCCTGTGAGCTTTGCTTTACGCTCGGTTTCAGTGATTTGATATGCGTGTGTTTGATGCCAGAGTGCTCCAGGCAATAAAGCAGAAACTCTGTCATAAACTAAAACCATACACGTAAATCATAAAGCCGGAACATAGTGGTTTGGGCTGGGTTTTACGCGTATAAAAATGATCTGGCACATGAGTGTAGATGATCAGTGCTCAGCTCCGTTCGAAGCTGTCATGGTCGAAAATCATTTTAAAATTATTGCTTATCATTTTCACCAGTTATATTGTCTATATGTTAAAATTAATGTCTGGAAAGACATTTAAATTAGACTGGGTACCTTATTTTAATGCGCAAAGGCTATGGAATCATTGTAGATTCTAAACACATCACTATATTTATTTCCAGAAATATCTTTTTTGTACAAGTTTGAATTGGCTTTTCCTAATGTTATCAGATCCCTATCCTTCGGGGGTACTTGTAATGCCACATTTTACGCACTCAAAATATTGGCACATGCCCTGGTAAATGGTGGCCATGGCAACTTGGTAAGCCCCGTTTCTGAAATCAAATCAGTTGCATCACAGTGCTAAATACTGAGGTTTAAAATACCGAACAAACTATCTGAGATTATTTTTAATTGCCTATTTATTATGAAGCATACAGTTGCGTATTTGTGATTTTGCGCATAGGACATGATCTGATAACGTGGATATTAAATAACTTTAAGCTGCTGAAAGATGGCCGTTCCTTAGATATTGCTGTTTTGAGTTATTGTAAAGAGTAGACTACCTCTTTGTTAGCCCAGAAAATCTAACCTATTTCAAAGAAAGGCTCTTTTAAAAAAGGAAAATCTTACGTATTTGGACAAACATTTGCTTAATGCGCAAAGCTCCGGTATTTGGACAAAGCAATTACGCATGAGGCCAGCTAACAAAGGGGACTTTAAAGGTTGAAACCTGCTGTGTGAATTGGTAGTACAAAGGGTCTTTTTGTGTACTGCAACAATAAAAGCTCGATTTCTTCACTAATGTGAGCCTATATCTGTGCGCTATGACATCTCCAAAAACATGTCCAATATCGCCACGATTCAGTGGCGCGTTATGTTTTTATGATATTACTTTACTTTTAGAAAGTTAAAGATTAGTAAAACGTGTCAACAACATGCAGACACGTTTTAGCTTTGGTGGGGGAGAGAGGGGAAGTGTGGCAGAGCTCAAACATGATTTACTATTGCCAACAAAGGATCACAAAAAGCTCTCCTTAACTTTCTGTCTAAATATGTGTTTTGGGAACAATCTGATAACCATATGCTTTCAATAAACTGGACAAATACACTTGTGAGATAGGAGATGGTGGCTTGCTGTTATAAAAGGTACGAAAAGTCTAAAGTAAACTGAATATTACCCTTTTACAAATAATCATTGATGCCAAATCCATATTCGGATATCACGGACAGGTGTGGGTTTGAAGTTGTCAGTCTCTCTCCTTGATTTTTATCAGTGTGCTGTAGTGTCCTGCTTGTTATGCAAAGTATAGGCAAACATAGGCGCCCAGTTGCTGTGGAAATGGCAGATATCGGAGCAGACTTGGTACGAAAAGTGATTTAACAATATTTAACAATAAACTGAGCAAGCTCCGGAGCAGGTGATACCTGCCCGATGCTCCTGATTAATACTTCCTCTACTACTTCACTTTACAGTCTCTTTTGCTTATTTATTAAACGAAATCTATTTATTATTATTTTAGCAAACAGAGGTACCAGGTGGGGCTTTATTTTCGCCTTCAGCTTTTTGTTTGAAGGACGTTTTGAGGGGGACAATCAAAGTCCAACAACTCGCTGACCAGATTGTTGTCATCCCAAACTAGCAGCGAAGCCATTCAATGTGCCCCCCTCCTCTTCTTCTTTCTGGCAAAGAGCTGCTGGGGGAGAAAAAAAGAAAAACGAAACTTCTTTAAGAAAGGAAAAACATCTTAAAAACATTTAATTGCAACCCGGATGCCATATGTACACCTCTTGTGAAACCCCTCAACAATGTGACTGCCTTTTAGAAAGTATGGAGTGCGTCTTTGGAGACGTGTGCGCTTTTGGAGAGGTGCGCGCATCGTGACCAGCATGACCTCGAACACACTCTACACAAGAAGTAATTCACTTTTAATGTGCTTTGGAGTTTCCTTTCACAGGCAATGCATTGTACCTCTCACCCCAGCTTTTGAAGACAGTGTACACCAATTACAGTGGAATAGCTGTCCTTTGGAGACGGTTTGTCTTTTTGTAAGGATTGGAGATTTGAAGCACAAATAGGGCTGTGGCTGCAAGTCGCCCCCTCTCACCCAATAAACTGCTTCACAATGTTTTTTCCTTTGTTTCTGATCGCTTTTTTAAGATGCTAAGCCCTGTGTTCATTAGTGGCTCTTGGGAGATAAAAAGAGCAAATGTGAATTCTCTGTAAAGGGATGAAGCCCCTCAGAAGATGTATAGCACTAAGGCCACATTCATTTATACATTCATGATGCAGCCAATGAGAGATTTGTATATTGATTTATTTTAATTTAGAAAACTCATGTACCTTGCGTTCTTTCTTGTGGAGCATTTAATGGGGAAAAAATATGTTGATTCCAGTGAAATACAGAAACTTTGCACAAAACTACCTGTCTGGAGGAAACATTTGCCATAAAGTAAATATATTACTTCATTGTGTTGTGCATTGTTACTCAGTAAGTCCATCACAAACAAATGTTAATTTAAGTAACTGATGAGGACACAATGCCAGGTCTCTTTCACTGTGAATATAAATCCACTGTCTTTCTTTTTGTAATCTAGTAAATCACAATAAAATGGGAAATTATCTGAGATGTATTATATACTTGAGGAGGGCAATGATACCTAAAGAGGGAAAATTTCCATTTTAAAATCCCTGGAAACTGTAATTATCCTAAAGAGTATGTCACAAACACTTAGAGAGGCCCTGTGCTTCACCAGCTGAACACATTCACTGGCTGGTTTGTATCAGAAATGTTGGTCCATCACTATTGCACAAATATTCTGTATTGCTGCATTTCCAGAAGTTCTTTGGTTGTTTTGAAATCAACATTTTACTTCATCAGTGCAGCTACAACATCAGTATTTTAATGCCTCCCGAAGAACTGAATCTATTTCTACTTAAACTGATCTGTGTGTGAGCAGTGTGTCTTCTTGTCCTTGTTGTTGACAGTGTAGTTGCAGTCCTCGGCAGCTCTGCGTCGCTGTTTTCACTCCTAGAAAGAAAACAACATTTCAACTCATTATAAAAGTGGCACCGAGTGATGCCTTTCAGGATGTCGAACATATGAAAACTATAAGTGGAATAAAGGTGAACGACCCCAACACGGTTGTAAATAAGCACGTGTCACAGAATTATCACCATTTTCAAAGTCCAGAACTTTAGATATGTTATATATTTCTTTAGCCAACAACATCACCTTATTTATTTATTTTTTTTCTAATATGGTGTGGGCTACCAATCTCGATATAATATGTAAAATATTTTAGTAAGTTAATAAATAAATCATTGTGTGATGAGAACATTTAATACATGGCAGTGTCCAAAATTGCTGTTCAGTGAAAACTTTTTCCTTCCAAAAATAAAAACTAAAACAGTTTTTTATGCAATATCAACAACTTAAATACCATAAAGTCTGTCTGAAGTATACATTAAAGATGTAGCTTGGATAATCCTTTACATCCTGCATATTTAGATAAACAATTTACACTAGTCATACTGCTCATCCTGTATATATTTCAGCACAGTCACTTTTACTGCTTCTGTGCTAAACTACATTTCGTTCTCTTTGCAGTGACAATAAACTGACTCTAACCTAATCTGATGATGTCCACAATCGTGGTCGTTGCCTTGGTTATTGATCACTGATATAACTAGATCATGCTGTTTACGAGGAGCCCTTGAAGGCAGCAGCAGCTCTTTGCTAACTCATCCAGCAGTGAGCATGAAAACGCATCACGCTGCTGCTCAAACCGCAGATCTACAAATATCGCGGTGAGTCGTTATAACGAGAGGAGACGCTTCCATAGAGTTGTCAGATCTACACATGCGCAGAGCGCGCGCAGCTATATGAGGCTGCGGGTCACTTCCTGAATCAGGGTTAGCTTGCTGCTGTGTTTGGCAGTAGCATGTAGATGAGAGCCGGAGACTCAGAGCAGACTGCTGGAGGTGACTTTCCCCAGAAGCGGACACAAAAGCAGAACTTTCGGTGACAGTTTGCCTCGACGACATGGATTACTGGGTAGGTGTCGGTTGACTTTCTTCAGCTTTCTGTCTTTACAGAGTGTGCTGGACGGGACGATGACAGTGCTGCTACAAGACGCTTGAAGAGGCGAAGACTTGTTTATCAGTAGTGAAGTGAGCTAATGCCCGACTTGTTTTGCTCCCGGAGATGCTCCAAGTCCACAAACTGAGCGTTTGACACTGACCTCTGTTATTTGAGCCTTACATTTATGGCTGTTTTTGAAGAAACTCTTCACCGACACAGAGACGTTGGCCCCCTGAAATGGGACACTTTGCACGAAATGAGCCACATTGTGTTTTCAGACACCTTTAAATGCCTGAAATAAAAAGATAAAAGTAGATCTATGCAAGGCTTCATGCCAGGCTTCTATGTCAGGTTTCAATTAAGTCACAATCTGATGAAATACTTCCTCTTTAAGTGGTTTAAAGCTCGCCCCTATTGTTTACTGCAGCACCCACTGTGTAAAATTAGAGATCCTGTCTAACATAAACCTGCAGGAAGTTCAAACAAAGCGTTACGCTCGCTACAGCCACCAGAGAGCTGTTAAAACCTTTTGGGTTTTCCTTAAATGTGCACAATCAACTTTGGCTGATAGCAGACATCAGCAGCAGCAGCCAGACAAAAGACTGAGCACTAGAGGGCAGCTGGTCTGACACACATCTGCTGTCAGTGCAGAATCCACTTCCAGTCTGTCTGTCCATGTCTGGACTCCTCCAGGTCAGCTCAGGGAGAAGACAGAAGAGGAGCTTCACTTTGATTTGCACCTAAATGTCAGTTCATGTTATGATAGCTTCACCCTCTCCCCGGGGCTTTGCACACAGACACCACAGCTGTAATTATTTTCCCCTGAGTGATCTCTGCATCTCTCTGTAAGCCTCGGTGATGTTGTTCCAGCAGTCTGTTTTCCCTTGATGTATCCAGGAGCAGCCACCTCACACCCAGTAGATTTCCATGAGAACATAACCTCCCCTCAGAGACAACAAAAGGTCTCATTACAGAATAGTCAAATGTTGCATGGGGGGTGAGCAAAGGAATGGGCGTCCACTGCTCAACAATGACTGGGACAATACTGGCCCAAGAGCCTTTGTGTTAACTTGGTATAAGTTTTCCTGAGTCAAAGATGAATGGTTGGAATGGAAACGTGTGGGTGGACCTGTAGATGAAATATAGACAGAAAATATGTTGGATAGCAGACTTGTCTTTGTTAGTGATACTAGATAACACCATTCGGTCTGCTTCTCTATGACAGATGACAGATCTCTGATGATCTTTGCACTAATCTACGCCATGTGCTGTACCTGTCATGAAAACTCAAGTTAAGACTCCCATTCAACACATGTTAATGGCTCATTTTCCGTTGCTTCCCAGTCGGCTTTTTGCTGCTGATCTTGCCAAACCTGTATGAGAACATGCTGTCCAAACCGGCAGGTATAGCAGCTGTTGTCTGGGCAGGGGGGAGGACTCCTGTGGATTACTCACAGCCCTCCGCTAAAGATTCACTGATGAAGAAAAAAAAACTTTCACCTGAATTCATTTTCCACTGTTGGCCAATGATGCTTTAAATGATTAGGTTGCACTAATACCTCACATCCTCTGAGCTGAAACAAATGTTTAGAAGGTTTCTGATCTCATAAACAAGTATTTTCATTGCTCAGAGGAGATTTGCCCCATTGTACTATTATGTGATGTTTATTCCAGGCTGCACAGATTGTGATTGCTTAAGATATTGTCTTTTGAACCTTAAGCTTTCTCCGTCTGATTGTGGCTGAGGTGGAGAGTCCTTGCAATCAATGCCTGTTATTGTGCTGTAAAAACAAGGAGAAGAGATAATGGAAAGATAAGTTTACTGCACTTACATAATTGCATGCATTGATATTTTTCTATGATACTGCGGTGATTAAGGGTTGGTTAGATCTTCCCAGACGGTGAAAATCACTTCATGTCCTTCGGGATTAACAACAGATTATTTTATTGACGGTTAAGCTTAGAAGTGTAGTATCGTTTTAAGCTCCGTCTGATCACAGGCGAACTTCCTGTCCTGTCTGATCATGACTGATTGCAAAACATCCTCTCAGCCAGATGGATGTGTTGTTGCCGGTTTGGGTGGTGGGAGGAGTCGGTTGATAGTCGTCCAGTTAACTGAGGGCGATCTCTCACTCTCACCTGGTGAACGGAGAGCAGACTGTGCTGCCAGTGTTGTAGTGTGAAGGGGAAAAAAATACTCTGTAGCTCTGACAATGACTTCTGATGTAAGTATTTGTGATACTGGGCTTCACATAAATCAACCTAACTACTAACCAGCATTGGTAATAGCTAACATACTTGGAGAACTGTGCGGCTGAATCATTATTACTTCATTGTTTTAACTAGAACATGTTGCAAAAGGATGTTGAGGCACTTGGGAAAGTTACTTGAAAAGATTTGTCATTTTCTGGTAAAAGTAAGTGCTGATGAAGTCATCCCTCCTTAAAAGGGAGTTTTCTATTTGATGGTGTGTTGCCAGTTACAGTTTCAGTTTAGTGTTAATTAAGCGTACAAGAAGTTTTTCAGTTATCAGTGTGGCATTTCAAGGGATTTAAATACTGACTGACTGACTGAATGATGTGTTGCATCCTAAGATTTAAGACTTGCTTCATAGTATTGATAATATGAATAATTATTACAACTGTTGGTTAACGTCTGTATATCTGCACGCTTTGCAGATTCTTAAATCAAGTGTCCTGTTTCAAAAATGTCTCATAAAATGATCTAAAACTGAGTCATTTCGAAACAACATGGTCATGATGGTATCAAACAGTGACTACAACAACTTTGATCAGCACTTTGCAGTGGTCACTTCCCCATTTTAAAAGAGTCACGCGAAAAAAATTTGTAACAGATTTTTGTAACTTTCCAGCTTCAAAGCTCCCTCTGGTGTGAAATCAAGCTTTATGCCATGTTTACTTGTTTGTTTTTTTTATATGCGGAAAGGCAAATCATAAAATGAAATTAGCGGTCAACACGATGCCGGAGGATTTCCACCTTGTAAGGATGACAGTCTCAAAAACATGGGTTCAGAGTTCAAGAGTTTCACACGTAACAAACCTCCAGAACCGATCCTTGCAACCTGCACGGTGGAGCTTTATCCTTCTTCTTTGAAATTGGTTTCTGGTGCGAGCATATGTGGGTGATTTACTTCAATATTACAACTTGCTCGTGTGCAGCGTAGAGTACTTTTACAGTGTTTGAGCACTGGTGAGCTGTTGTGCTGAGGTGCAGTGCACGGCGGAGGGGTGAGTGGAGAGAGAGAGAGAGGCCGGTATTTTAAAGATCTTTATATTCTAGAAGAAACAATTTAAAGGCAGATAATAGTAGTTTTATGGAAACAAAAAGAACTTCTAAATATGGTGCAAGAGAGGCAAGATAAGACAAGAGAGGCACTTTAATTTCTTAAATATGCCGCATTAGTCTATAGGAAACATGAGCATTAGTAAAATGTATAGCTTGACCCACATGGTTGTTTCTGTACTTCATTACGTTTAAATACTGTGTTGTACTCTTGGTTATTACAGTGACCTTATCATATTATAATAAATGCATGTGTCCCTGTGTCCAGAGTGCCTTGGAGGTGTACAAGGAGATGCTGCTTCTGTACCTGGAGGAGGGTCGGCGGCAGGTGAACTCGCACTGCTCGCACCTGGAGCCGTGGCAGATCATCGGAGCGACCTTCCTCACCACACTGGGAGCAGTCTGGGTCAAAGGCTTCCTGTTCCAGCAAGAAAGTAATCTTTCACTCGTAATGCATGGGTACAAAGTAGAGCTGCCGCAGTCTGAAAGAGAGATAATGCATGAAAACACTCCTAAAATTGCAGTAGTTGTTCACACAGCCGTCCTAGAGTTTAGCCGCCATACAGTGAGTCGCATTCTCTTGACATAACGTTAAGTTTAAACATCTGTTAATCTACCGCTTTGCGTCTCAAAATGTGGTTCGAGCAGTTAGTGAGCAGCTTTTTGATAAAAACTTCCCTGATTGTCTGCCGCTAAGTGTTTCTGTAGTATGCTTGAGGAAAAACCTTCCATCAACAAGATTGTCTTGATGGGCTATCAGTCAATCAGTGGTTAAATTCCTCAGCAGCAAGGTCAGCACCACTGTCTTACTGTAGCCCTGAGAGAGTGAGAGATCAGTGCCGGATTCTTAGAGTGAACTAACTCTTCAGTGGTCAGAATAAAATGCCTCGTGAATACGCCTCCACTTTTTCACAGACCACGTCTTGTCCTGACGTGTGATCACAGGCCACAGTCAGCTGTTTAATATTTGTGGTTGAATGTGTGCCAGCGTTTCACCACAGCTGCTCCCTTGTCTGTCTGGCTAATAGGTCTCACGTCCAGGATCAAGAAGCAGTGCTTTCGACTCATCAGAAAAATACCCTTTGTTGGCGCAGCAGTAAGTATCAGTGGTAAATCTGTTCCTTCTTTTCACAGCAGATGTGCACGGACTCTGTTGTCTGAGGCTCTTATGAGTCACTCTTGGATGACTGCTTATCCAAAGTGGGGGAGGGGGGGAGTCAGACCTTTGGCATACTTAACATCACGCACTGATGATAACATGTGGTTACTTCTGGTCACTCGGTCACATTGTTGCTTCACCTTTATTCATTTTCGGGTCTGACACGCTTTATTGCGCTGTAGTTTTTAGTGAGTAGAAAGCTGATGTCAATAAAGTAACTCTCTTATCTTTTTGTGTCAGATTCAGAGCCAGCTGAACAAGGCTTTGGATGACATGTCTACCAGTTTGTGCACTCTAAAGGAAGGCATGAGCTACACTAAGGAGCTGCCCTCTAAAGGCCTCTCACAGAGCCAAGTAATGGACAAAATCAAAGAGTACGAGAGCCTGAGTAAGTCATCGTTTATCCCTGAGCCTCCTGTTCATTGTCTGACTTTCCGAAGAGTGTTTCTAATCTTCAGTGCTGATAAGAAAACTTGCGGCCTTTTAGTTTCTTTGGAAAATAAATGTTTTTGAGAATGTTTTCTGAAGACTTTCTGTGTGGTTGCAGGTGAGGTGAAGTGGGAGAAAGGCTGTGTTTCAGGTGCAATGTACTGGTGTGATGAAACACTGACCAAACTCCTGGTGAAGGTACGCATCTTTGTATACACCTTTGGACTTTGACATTCCAAAGTACGAACAGTCAAGGTTGGGCTTCAAAAACATTTTGCTGTTCGTTACAGTTTCTTCTTCTCGACATTCCTTTTATTGAGATCAGTGCTGCCTTGGTTTGTTCTGAATTCACAGTAAATATTAGGGCTGTAGTCCATAAAAGAAAATCTTTGTGGACTGAGACTACACATACTCTTAAACCCGACAGCTGGTCAGGGGAAAAGGAATCCGCATTTTATCTCTTGGTTAACTAAGGCCCTCTACCTGCTCGCTTTATTAGACTAAATCAATTATAAATAAACATAAAGAGGTATTATTTGCAGCTTATTAAATCCTTTGAACTTGGTTATTTTCTACTGAATGAAATGATATCAACTCTGTAGGAATACAACGCAGACAAGTTTTAAGTGATATGTCGTGTTGTTTTTCAAGCCGTGGTGTTAAAACTGCTGTTTGCAAAATTTACACCGATTAAACGCAGCCGCGCCGACGACTGCTTTGACATGGTGTCAATTAGTCTAAAGTCGACTTCCGAGTGCTCTGACTCAGTAAGTGTAAGCTGCGGATAAAAGATAATTATCATAATTATTTTATGAGCTCTTCCACTATCTCCTGGCAGTAACTCACCACACTGAAAGTTTCAAGTTTTGCAGAGGATTTGTGCCATGCAGTAAGACAGCCCGTGCTAGTTTGTTCAGTGGATTATTGACTGGGTGAAAGTGTTCCTTCACAACAGTTCCACTGGCCACTAATTTAAGGAAATGCAGAAGCCGAACTTTTCATGTAATTGTGTCCAAGACAACGAAGAAATGCCAAAAACACCAGAGAGTTTTTTTTTCTCCTATAGCAGAATGATCGTAAGGTACAGAAGACTGTTTTACAGAATGAGTTGGCTGAGCAAAACAAACTCCCGATTAGTGTTTAGTAAACTTTAAAAATAAGTTAAGCCTCGCAGTCTTTTTTTTAAGTTGGGCCAGTTCAAAGGCTGTTCACTCGTCTGTTCCTCCTGCCACCAAAAATAACAGATGAATACTTGAAGTTTCTCAATGCGTTTTCGCCTCATGAAAGCAACACCCAGTGATTGTCTAGCCAATGAGCATTTAGTCAGATGGGAGCGTCTCATACCAGTCAACCTGTAGCTTTGGTAAATAGTTTGAGATTATTTAAATCTTTCTATCTTGTGTCACTTATCTGTTTGTCTTTGTTCTTTTAGGTGTATGGTGAGTTCGCCTGGAGCAACCCCCTTCACCCAGACATCTTTCCTGGCGTAAGAAAGATGGAAGCAGAGGTTGTTCGAATGACCTGTGCCCTCTTCCATGGTGGACCCAACTCCTGTGGCACAGTAAGTCACCAGTTCGCATTCTCAGAAAATGTGCAAACCAGTAATGCCTTATAAAGAAAAGTTGGACGTGATCTGACAAATCTGTACTTCTTCTTTGTCCAGGTTACGTCAGGAGGAACCGAGAGCATACTGATGGCCTGCAAGGCATACAGAGATTTGGCGTATGAGCGAGGCATCAAATACCCTGAAATGTAAGCTGGGATTTCTAAAACACTGGGCCATGTCACGACGTGTCCTTGACTTTGTTCGCCAGAGAAAGTTGTAAAAACTGTTTGTGTTTTGTTGTCACTTCTGCAGTCTTGCACCTGTGAGCGTCCACGCAGCTTTTGACAAAGCAGCACATTACTTTGGGATGAAGCTTGTTCACATTCCCCTCGACAAGAAAACGATGAAAGTAGATGTGAAGGTGAGAACAGAACATGTGCAGACAGCTCGTGCTAACTCACTGCTATTTTCAGACATTACTTAATCCCGTATTGTTTGTTCTCTTTCAAGGCCATGAAGAGAGCCATCAACAAGAACACAGCCATGCTCGTGTGCTCAGCTCCTCAGTTTCCTCATGGAATCATGGATCCTGTTGAGGAAGTAGCCAAGGTTAGAAGCGCAACGCTTTTCCTTTTTGTATAGGTTCCAAAATAAAAACAGGGAAGTCAAGTCTCTGACACTTTCCCTCTGTGTGCTGCAGCTGGCTGTGCGCTACAAAATCCCACTGCATGTGGATGCCTGTCTGGGTGGTTTCCTCATTGTCTTCATGGCCAAGGCTGGATACCCACTGGCACCTTTCGACTTCAGGGTAAAAGGTGTTACCAGCATCTCTGCAGACACCCACAAGGTAAGGAGTGGCACTTAATTCTCTTCACATTAAAGCTTATTTAATCTTACCTATAATTTTTCCTAACTGAAAATAGCTAAACACAAGTTATTACACCGAATGACAAATCCTGGCAGTAGACATTGTTCTATGTATATGTACTAGTGTAGTTAAATTTAATGACCAGTGATTGATGTCAACTGTAAATGGACCGTGGCTGTAGTTATTTTAACACTGCTTTCCGTGCGTCACATTTCTCTCCAGTATGGCTACGCCCCCAAAGGTTCCTCCGTGATCCTCTACAGTGATACAAAGTACCGTCAGTACCAGTACTTCGTAGCTCCAGACTGGCAGGGAGGAATCTACGCCTCGCCCTCAGTCGCGGGCTCCAGGCCGGGAGGAATCATTGCCGCCTGCTGGGCGACCATGATGCACATGGGACATAACGGATATGTAGACGCTACGAGGAAGATCGTCAGCACAGCACGCAAGATTAAAACAGAGTAAGACACACGGGTTATTGACAGTGAAGGCAATAGTAGTACAAGAACTCTTAGACTATAATTTGTATTCACTCGTCTTTTTTTTTTTTTTGACAGAATCCGCAAGGTTAAAGGAGTGTTTGTGTTCGGGGATCCAGAGGTGTCGGTCGTGGCAATCGGCTCTGATATTTTTGATATTTTCCATCTGTCTAACGCACTGACGTCAAAGGGCTGGAATCTGAACACACTGCAGTACCCATCCAGGTAACTATCAAACACATAGTGCTTTGATGGCTTTATTGGTACACCTCATATTTACAACTGCGTTATCTCCTCTTTTATAGCATCCACATTTGCTGCACAGTTTTGCACACTCAGCCAGGAGTTGCTGATCAGTTTATTCGTGATGTCAAAGAGCAGGTCGCCATTATCATGAAGAACCCCAAAGAGAAAACCACAGGAATGGTGAGTGAGCTCTGCTTATGTACACACCTCAAGCCTGTGCTGCGAAGCAGGTTCAACATACTCAGGATATGTTGTCGTTATCTGGACTCATTTCACGTAGCAACCACAGTCACGCTAAGCAGACACACGAAGCTGGTTATCAATCCGGTAAGTCAACTCAGGGTTTCTCAATCTAGCTACGAGTGCGTTCACATAAAATAGGCAGTGTTGGAAACAGATGACCATTCGCAAACATGAATGGGTCTAGAGCTGCATATTTTTCACAAAAATGACAAACTATAATTGTAAACCAATGTAATGAATGATTTTTAAAAGAAATACAGGCTAAAAGCAACACTTCCACAGCCAGAGCCAGAAAGGAAAGCTGGCAAAAAATGCAGACTGTGTTAAAGTTAATAGGATTATCGATATTACTGCCCTGCCATTAAGGCACAAGTACTTCTGACTATAATTGCAATTGTTTATCCCATGAAATTAACGTGTTACTTAGACGTAGCCTATTCTTATGGCGTGTAAGACAGTTTTAGCTTTATTCCTACGTTGTAACCCTGGTGGAGTTAAACGGTTTTAGGAGCAAGTAAAGAACGGATATAAAAACACTATTCAAACCTAAAATGAACCGTTAAATAGGCTTACTGCAAATCCTATAAGGTTAACAAGTACAAGGATTTAGAGCTTTAATCAGCCTGTTTTATTGTTACACAGCTATACAAAGCTCTATAGAACAATTGTTTTGAAGTTGTTTGCAACCAACAGGAAAAAAAAAGATAAAGCGAGAAAGAGTTCCTCCTGCTGAGAATGTTCAAGCCTGTATCTCATATCTGTGGTCGTCAGCGGAAGCAAACAGGTTCAGGCGCTCTCGAAAAACTTTTCCCTCCCTCCCTCTAACTGTGCACTGAGCTCCACAGCATCCTCTGTGAAGGGTTACGCCGTTTTTCAAGAGAGCTGATTTGTCAGTGGAAGCAGTTTAGGTGTTCAGCTTGAGTTACCATGGTGATGTAAGAGAACTCACTGTGACAACCCAGAGCAGCAAATCCTGCTTCATGGTGCATAGTAAATATGACCCCTACGATCACGTAGTTGAATTAACACTTGTATGATGTTTGCATATCCTTAAGAGCACACGCGCTCCTTTCTGTTAGTCTGACGCCATCTGAACGTGTCGTCTTTGTGTCTGAATAAACACCCGAGCCACTGTTTTCGTAACAGACACAGTCTTACTCAGTCCGACCTAATAACATTTACATATCGTTTTCAACACAGCACAAGTCTGAACTGCATGCCGTCACATTAACGGATAAACATGCTCGAGCAATGCACTCTGATTTGTGTGAAGCCTTTAGGAAAAGACAATTTTTTTTTAACCATTTCAGCACCAATTTTGATCTTAAAACATCACAGAGAGCCAAAGACAAAGGTTGCTGCCAAAATCATAAACAGATCTTTCTTCCTCACTTTGCACCACAATTTCACATCATGTAACAAACTGAAATGTCTGTAAATATAACATTTGAATAACATGAAGACGGACTGTAACAGGTTAACAGGATCTGAAGTTCAGTTTGTTGCTTCCAGCTGCTGAGTCTTTCCTCTGGGGTTTTTGAATACTTGAAGCATCAGAGAGCGAGAGAGCTGCACACATTTAAGTGGAACAGCAGCAGTAACTTCATTACTTATAATTAGAAATGAGCCCCAATATGGAGACAAAATCGATCAGGGCTAAGTCACACTGTGTGCTTGTCTTGACTTTGGACATGTGATCTGTGACACAATTTGAGATTTAAGATTTAGAGTTAGTCTTTTGTTTATTCGTGCTTTATTGTGCATCCTCCATACTTTAAATAGCATAGAAAAGGCTGTAAACACTAACTCACAGTGACACCCTCAGGGAAGCTACAATTGCGGATGACACCAAAAGATGTGTTGTCTTTTCAAAGCTTTAATGGTCTACAACAGAATCGTTTTTTTCCTTTATGCTTCCCAATCTCACAGTTTGACCTGTTGTAAGTTGTAATAGCAGCTTGTCTGTCAATAACACGACATAAAGACAAACAGTCTATACAGCACAGTGTCCATCTCACTTAATCAGACATTTGAAATACTCGCCTATTTTAGCGTTAATTCAACCTGGACTTGCATCATTAATGACCTGCATTAAGTTGGTCTTTGTTGAGTTTGCGAGTGCATCCAAGTCAGACAACCCAAGTGAAAGGCATGTGTTTGGCAGAGCGTACTGTTTACCATGCTGCTGGCACACGTGGCATTTTGTTTTCTTCTTGTGTCAACCGTCAATTCAAGTTGACACAAGCAGCTGGTTTGTGTGACAGTTTTCAGTGGAGTGAAAGAAGCTCCACCCAGCTGGCATCGGCCACTATTGTGCCCGGCAGGTTTGTTGGCAGCATAGATCACACTGAGGGCGACACTTGAGAAAATTGAATGAGGCCATGCCTTCATTTGCATTCCGTAAATGAGGATAATTAAAGCTATAGGCAGAGCTTTATATTGCTCAGGGAGGAAAACCTAGTTCCTGTTGAGGAATAAAATAAATCATGATGAGTAGATTATAAATATTATGGAATAAAATGAATTGGCTTAGAAATGTACAGAAGGGATGCATTATGATTCTGGCACATCACCAGTATTGACAGATGAAGGTTTTAAAATATTGGCCCAAAATGAAAAAATATAAAGCGATTTATTTCTGATTGCATTTTATTTATTTACTGATTCAAAACCTGTGACATCCCCTGCATGTACATTAGCCATTGGCTGGAAGAGCCACAGGATCTGGTTGTGTTTTTGTGATCGTGCTTTAACACACCAGCTAGAGACAGTTCGCTGTCATTCCAGCAGGTGCACGTGTGTCAATCAGTTCTGTCTCATGTACATTTTCCCACTCTGCTATTTTTATGCTCGAGGCTAGTATTGGGTCAGCAATGCTGTGTCATCGTGCATGACAAGAGGTTCATTGTCGCAGTACAAGAAGTCTTTTGATTCCAGACGCCCATCACACCAAAAAGACGCTCGGCTCCAGTAGACAATATGAATGTGCCCCTGTTGTGCATGGAAAAAATGTGATGATTTAGCTACTTTCTGCATCTCTATGTATACAGCTTACAGGAAACCTGAGGATAATACTTGCAAATAGTTAAAACAAGGTGACTACACCAAGAAAAGTAAGCTGCTGTAAACTCACTCATGTCTTCCTGCTGCTTCAGGGAGCGATCTACGGCATGGCCCAGTCCATCCCAGACAGATCCATGGTGACGGAGATCTCCCGAGGTTTCCTGGATTGTCTCTACAGCACTGAGGTGAAGCCAAACACCAGCCACATGAACGGCAACGGCAAAGCCCACTGAAACTGGAGTGGGCCCTCCGAGCCCGACCCCACCGCACGCAGGGAAACACGCTCGCCTCCTACCAAGAACTGAGTTGTTCGCTCAACGATTGCCTTATCTTGCATATACCTACACCGTACGGAAAACATCTGCAAAGACCTTTGAAGCACAAGCCATGGTCATTTTCATCAGAAATCGCTTGTAGCACTGCGCCTTCAATGGCACAGAGCAGAAATGACTGGGTCCAAACGAGTTCTAGTCTTTTAATTTGATTTTAATTATGTAGTGTGTGTGTGTGTATGTTTGAGTTTTTTTGTTCTTGTTCTAAAAGTCCATTTCAATTTTAGATTTTAATACATGTGTCTGTCATGATTTCTACTGGTTGCATAGCAAAACCATTCAGTTCTTTTTAACGCCAGAACCATTCAGCTCATTGCCGCTAAAGCCAGTGATGACTCAGCAAAAACAGAAACCACTGAAAACTTGTTAGAACCGCTGTGCTGCCCTCTAGCATGAAACCCGACGTACTGCTCCAGACCAGCTGTACTGTTATCTCTATCATGTAGCAGTTCTCTGGGAAACAGCGTTTATGTTTTTGTTTTTTTAAATGTAAAAGCACTGCAAGAACATATCAGGTTAATCTGTAAATCACTTGAAACTGCAGATCTGATGATATGGTTTTTCTGTAAGCATGAACATGTGTGTGTTTGTTAGCACTTCATTTTGTTTTAATCTGCATTTGTGGTCCATCTACAGAAGTTGTATTTGTAGACAGTGGGAGAATAATTTGGAAAGTGGGAGTTTATAATGTTGTTAATGTTCAATAAAACTGACGTTAAATTTAAATAAGGGAGAACAAGGGGCATTAGTATCTTGGAAGTGGAATCCAAAGCTCATCAGCCACTTTGATTGTATCGCTGATGGTGGTTATTTTTATTTAGAATTAGAGAAAAACTTCCACGCAGTAGCTGGCCTGTCAAGTAAAGCAGCTGCGTCATATTTTAACAGCTCCTTAAAGCCCTGAACGACTCCGATGTTGTCAAGTAGCAGGATCGTCTGTCTGCGTAACACCTTGTCGTCATAGTTTGTCTCCTAATTCAATCTACCTCAGTTTCCGCTCAATGCGAATAGTCATTTATTCACCCACTGAAATATCTTCTAACAGTACAGCTGTTTCCATTTCTAGCTTCACAAACTTCACAGTGTTGACAAACTGTAACAAAGTGTTCTTAAATACCCAGACACCGGGAGGACATTGATCCACTGTGATTAAGGTTTTCGATCCACAGACTGACAGATTAGATAGTTGTTGTTTTTTGTGTATGAGTGTGTGTGTGTTGTTGTTGTTGTTGTTGGGAGAAACCCACTGTCTGCCCTGTCTGAATGTGGATCTACTGTATTTTATCCATTCAGCAGGATATGTACACATTTACTAACAGGTTGATAACTTAACAATGCATACTGTAACACCAAAAGGACCTTGTTCTCTTGATTTCATGTGCTTTCCTAATCTTGTTAAAATTATTTCCATGTTTGTGCAATATGTAACTTTTCCTTTTATGAAGTGAAGAAGCGAAGGGGGAACGCTCTGCTAATAATGTTTAAGTGATTAGAAGCATCGTAGTGAATGACAAGCTTATCGGCCTTTTGTTGGAGCATTCGTGCGACCGCTGGGTGTTCATTAATCGCTTCGTTTGTGAGTCTTTTTGTGCGTGTTTTCAGCAGTTGTGTTTTTGCATACTGAAACATTCTAAAGAGATTAGACATGAATGTATTTAGGTTCTTACACGATTTTCTCATCTTTTAGTCAGTGCCTGGTTAAAAGACGACGAAACTAATGATTTAAGTTCAAACTATCATTTGTGTCCATCCGCTCATCCTGAAATATTTTTCCCAGTCACAAGCTTGGGAAGCTCATGCCTGTGCAAAAAAAAAAGACTTTTCCATCCTGTTTGAGGAATCGTTCTCAAAACATGTGACGATTGAATGGCCAAGAGATCTATTTTGAATAAAGACTTTTATTGTAAATTCCTCTTGAAGCAGTAAGTCACACTGATCACCCCTCGCAGACAGTGTACACGCTGTCTTGTACTTCGGTGGCATTATGTAGCAATAATAAGTGTTTGTACTTATGTTGTCGTAGCAGTTTTTCTCTCCACCTTTATCAGGGATTTGGCTTCATTAACGTCTGCTGCTCCTTCAAACCTTAAAAACATTATACGCCTAAATACAACCTTCCTAATTTTGATTAGAACACAAGAGAGGTGTTGATTTCAATCTGGTCATTTGTTGTTTTTTGGGTTAAGAGTACTGAAGAGCTCTACATCACATGTGAGGTTCTGAATGTACATTGTTTAAAGACATTTCTCTGTTTGGTGCGTTCTTATGTACGTGATTTGAGTTAAGAAACATCTGATGGTTTAAACAGCAAACGCCCGCTCAGCACTCTCAGTCGACCACAGCAGATGGCTCTGCAGTGTTGTGTTTTCAATAAAATGCATTCAGTCTTATGAGGAAATCATCTCGTGGTCATTTTTCAGTTACAACGACGACAGTTTGACATTTCATTTACACAATACAAAAACATTTGGCACACAAGACACTGGTTGGGACAGAAGAACACATGTATCACTGTGAATGTTGTCTGTTTTAACTGGAATGGTTGCTGAGAAATTACTTCAGTTCCCAGGATCTGAATTTGTAAACACTATTGTAGCATTTTCTTTAGCTAATAATTATTTTTTTTCACCATGAAGAACTCTAACAACAGCATGTTTTTAAAAGCACGTTGGTTCCCTTGCAGTCTAACACTTACATCATTCACGAGGAACTGAAAGTAGCTGGTTCTAATTCTTTGGATTTTGCAGGTCATTTGAAAGAATCTATGAAGAGCTGCGACGTTCAGTTTCCAAATGACTGATGTCACATCAGAGACGCCTGGTCGATGAAGGTGGCCAAAGTGATGTCACGCTGAGACAACCCCCCACAGTCATGTGTGCTGAGAGTGATCTGGACCTGCACGAACAACGGAAGAGGAAGCAGAGAGTTGAAAACTGAGTGTGACAGTCATATGATGAGAACAGGCTGTTTAGTAAATGTGAGTGGTTTTAAACTGATGCTCACCCACTCCAGCCCTTCCACAGACGCACACTGAACTCTAAATAACTGACAGTGATGATATATTTAATTAAAGCTGCAAGCGGCGATGGACGGGTCCTCGCCCTACGCTTGTCGGCCTTTGCGCACGGCAGGACTGTGATCCGGCATATCGAGTTTGGGGTTTGAGTTTCAGAATGTCCTGA